AAGAGTGCAACCGAGGGAGCACGATGCTGTGACTTGCCTGCAAAGATCGGATCTGTTTTTATTTGTTTTTGAGCTTGTTTTGAGGAAATGGAAGTATAGCAACCCTCCAAGTCTTTCCTGTTAAATTGTGCATGTGAGGATGACTGTTGGGTGTCGGGGTAACTCAGCGTGTTTCCAGAGATGACGAGGAATAAGTGGTGCAGAAATACAAACTGTGTTGGTCACGTAGGCTCATGTTAGCTTCAGTAAACATGACAGAATATAAATGTTGACGCAGCAGGCGTTAATGCTAATGCTCCCCCAGATGCTCCGGTTTAAACTTATAACCACCTTTGTCTGCAAATGCAAAGGTGTGCAGTGTTTCATTGATTTATTTTAGACATGAAACAATCCTGCCGGGGTCTGAACCTGCAAATGTGACATGAAAACACTGTTTCATACATTTCAGACAGTAGAGGACTGGATTATAGATTTTGCAGTGAAAAGAACCAAAACAATAAAAGTGTTTAACAAAAGTAAAGTAAAGTAGTAAAGATGCTAATCCTCAGGTTGCTTCCAATAGTCAAGCCAGTTTTGATGTAAGAAATAATCGTTAATTGTCAACCAACATAAATATGACGATCAAATGTGGTCGTGATATCAGGCGACGTCCACCAGCACCAGTTACAGCCGAGCACAGCTGCTAACATGGATTAGTTTGGTTTTTATGGAGACTGTAAGATAACTTTTCCACACTCGGCTGACTCATCTGCTAAAAAAAAAAGCTTCGCGTGCATGTGGTTGGTGGCGGCGAGAAAAATTCACGATGGGTTTAATGGAATACCAAACAGAATGCATCAAAACATCCGTACGAGCGGGTCAGAATCCTTCCTGCAGCACATTCACGGTTAATGCAGATGGTTTTAATGCTAAAAACATGCAGTGCTTTAAATCTAAATGTTTTGTTTTTACTGGACGGAGCTACAAAGTGGTCATATTTAGGAAGGAGGTAATGCTTCCAGCTCTGGATTAACAGCTATGTTTGGTATATACTTAACATATAAGTGGATTAAAAAGAAGTGAACTTTCTTTGGAAGTTCTGCTGCTTTCTTGCAGTGTTTCTAAAATCCATTCTGCTGTAGCTGCTGCTGCGATCCATCCTGACTGCGTCCACCGCCAGGGAGCCCAGCGGCACTTAATCGATACTGGATACTAAAAAACACTCTCTTTTTGTGGAGTGTTTTTTCTTCGATCGAGAAAAACGAAGGTAACAGGACGTCAGCGCCGCCCGCTCTGAGACTGCATGCGGTCGGCTCTCCATCTCGGCCCCCAGCATCCTCTTGTGGGCCCCTCCAGCACAACTCTTCACTCTTTTCAGATTTTTCACACATCCCTCTGTTTAGACAGCCGGGCTGTGGAGTGGATGAGTCAGGTTACCCTGGTTAACAGCACAAATCCAGAGCCTATCCCGGGAGTTCACATCCACTGACTAATGGTTCAGCTGTTCTCAGTCATTTGTTCCCACCAGGAAGCTTGTGCAGCAGCGGGGCCGTCCGGGAACACACCAGACACAGCACGCATGTACTCAGAGGTACATCAGTGTTTTATTTAAAATGTACGATAAGACAGGAGAAGACAACTCAGCCCCAAGCAGAGGCTCTTAAGTTTGAGCCGGGGTCGACTGCACAAAGCAGAGTTTTAACGTTACTCGATATCTTTTGTGAGATTTGATTTTACATGGTCAGCAAGTAGATAATCCAGACCACACTCTGCGGTGCCTGTGTTTACTTCTGCACAAAGCTGGCCCGCTAAGCTATAATCATTGTTAGTGAAAGGGATATCTTCATGCCATTATTCCTGTTCATTGTTCCAGTATGTCTTCCTCAGCATTTAACCTGACAGCACATTTTCAAAAGCATCTCGAGCAGCACTTACAGGATTACCTCACAGCCTCAAGAGTGCGACCGCGAACATATTCTTCATTTCTTTTTGCGCCGTATGAAAGTTTGAGCCCACAAACGATGCCCTCAGTGTTTAAGCATTCCTTCGATTGGACGTCGCTCCGGATCTCTCTAGAATTTCTCAGGCTGCTCGACTGCCTGAGGAGACGAGGGAGAGGTTAAGTTGGCAGAGCGTCTCACCTCCACTGAGTCATCCGTTAAACGCTGTCTGGGGTCCTAACAGTTTAGCCGACGGTTCAGTCCTGCATCGATTCCAGCTTGAGGGTGCGTAATATGCAAGAGATAACTCTGAATGCCCCTGACTGAAACCTTTTTAAGTGGCTGTGCTGTGAAAATCAATTTATAGGTCAACAGAAATAAATAAATTTGACAGTCTTTTAATAGGATTTTCCTTCCTTGATCGTCTTTTTTACGCTCTGGTAGTTGAACATGCAGAGTAAAGCGGGCGAGCTGTGGCACTCCTTCAGGTTGCTGCCAGGTCGTCGGTGTCTGCTGGCTTTGTTGGTATTTGTTTGTGTTGTTCAGCTTTATGGACAGATGTTTCTGGTTGCCCGTGGTGTTTCCCATAAGTCCTGGGATGTTTGACAGCCGCAGCAGACCGTGAGTCAGCGTGACCTGCAGCTTAACACGAACACCGAGCGCTCTCGAGGGAAGTCTTCCCTCTCTGCCCCCGTTCAGTAATGACTCCGAGACAGAAAAAGAATGAAGAACATATACTGTTTCCATGATGCTGCTCCCAGGCTTGTTCCATTACTGCATCTCAGGAAGAATTATATAATAATAGTGCAGCACTTGGAACTTCCACTCCAATAAATAGCGCACAAAGAAACCAGCCAAGGCATTAAAACCACCTGCTTGGTGTTGTGTGGGCATGGACGTGGGACCTCTGGGGGTCTCCTGTGGGGTCTGGCAGTGGGATGTCGGGTTGTGGGGGGTGGGACCTCCATGGATCGCTCTTGGTGCATTCCGCGACTGCTTGATTAAACTGAGATATGAGAGTTTGCAGGCCACCTCGCAGCAAACAGCTTGGGCTCTTGGTCGTGTTCCTCGAGCCTTCTTGGAGCAGGTTGACCGAGGGCGTTGCCCCGTTGGTGGAGGTCTGTCTGGCAGCGCTGTTGCCAGTGTTAGATGTCAAAGTAGCATCCACATTCCCCAGAAGAACGCAACGTTGTGAGGAGATGATCACCTGTACGTTGTTTTAACGTTGCAGCTGATGAGTGAATACGTCTCTAGATGGACACCGTTCATGTACACCTTCATCCAAAGCAAAGTGACTCACTCGTCTCTGAACATGTTGGTGACCAGGCAGGACGTCTACTCCCGCCCATAAGGGAGTCTGATTATTTTACTGCAGTATTTCAATTTACAATTTATTCATAGACGACATCTGCTTTTAGTGTCTTGCAGCACTGATAATGTCTTATCCTGGTTTATAATCAGGTTCTTCGTACCCGTGTAGCTATCAGACCTGATCCACAGCAGTATTAATGTCTGTCGTCTGACCGTGCTCATTGGATGATGTTTGCTTTGCCTCTGTGCTGGTTGCAGCTGACACCAGAGGCATTACTTTCCAGTTTGTTAATCCGTTCGTCTGTCTGTCTGTTGACATCACACCTGTGCACACGCAGCATTATCCACATTCTGATTCATCCCAGTGTGGATCATGTTGTCATGTTTGTATGGAGCCGCGGTAAACAGCCAGTAAATGAACTGCAGGCTGGAAAAGCTTAGAAACGTCACGTTTTGTTGGAGTCAGCTGCCTGTAGAGAGTCTTCCTGCACTCCGTCTGTTTCCTCTGCTCCAGATCAGCTGTTTACTGCTGCGTAAGCTGTTTTTTAACAATCTAAGAGCTGCATTGGATGTCTAACTTTTACAAGTGGAGGATAAAAGACTGCCGATGCTTCCTCTGTCTTGTCGGGCTTCTCGAGGTAGTGGCGCCGGCTCATTCATACGCCGATAGCAGCGAGCTAACCTGCAAGACGCTGGCTTGACCACGTAGAGCACGCCCAAAAAACGCTGCGACTTTCAAGTCATGGATTAAAAAAAGAATCATCCGAATCAAAGGAGTAGAGTCTGATGTCTCCTGGCTTTTAGCTTTGAAGGTCCTCGATGGTGAAAATCCATTTCTGTTGTGTTTTATGGTTGTTAGAAACTGTTGAGTTATGAATGTACTGACTTCTGCCGTGTTTCTATCCCATTAGGATGTCATGTTAATCAGCAGATTTTAAAACTGCAATGTTGTCTGAAAACAGCAAGTTTACTGTGACTTTGGTGATGTTTCGTAAAAATGACAGAAGCTTAGAAAAGTCCTGGTCTCACATTCTCACATTTCCATCTGTATCAGCCGCCGTGTTGTCAGACGCAGAGAGAGTCTTCTTCCTGAAGGAGGCTGGACGATACTCAACTAAAGCAGCCCGTTTAGAGCAGCGCTAACAACAGGCTAACACTGAAATGAGGCGTCTCTGCAGCATTCTAGGCTGAAAACTGAAAGACACGTCCGGGCGACATGTGAGACTTATTTGCTCAGAAGTTGCACAACATGGGACCTTTAAATAGCCAACATGCACCTGAATACCAGCTTCTATCAGACCGTCCCTGCCTGGTGAACGTCTCTGTCTTCCAAAGTCCACGTCCCAGGTTAGGAACACAAGTCTCCAAGCATAAAGTAACCCTGATGACGTCATCGGGGTAGTTCTTCATCGGGTTTCTCAGGCTAAGTGGTACCTTTTTGTTTGTAGGTCAAACTTTTTATTTCAGTGACTGTGCTTGAAATGGAGCCTTTTGGTTTTTTTACGCTGTGGTTTTGATATTTTTGCTTTAGTGTCAGGTTTGAATTCTTCTTCGGCCACTTCCCGTTGTTTCCAAACCCGCGGTGGACGCCTATTGTTCCTCTGCAACAGCTGCACACGCAGGAAACCGTCACGTAACACGGTTCAAGTCCGAAAAAGCAGCGGTTCAAGTGTTTGTGTGGTCACGATGAACAAATAATAAAAACATTTTAAAAACAGCCTGGCTGCCTGTGCCCCCTGTCCTCTAACATGCTGTGTGTTTCTGTGCTAGGTGGCTGCCAGAGCCGGAGTTTATGACATCCTCAACCAGCTGGGCTTCTCCGAGTTTGAAAACCCGAGGGACACGCCACTGGCCAGACTGCGCTGCCGCTGGCAACAGCACAACATTCAGTCACTTCCTTTCCGAGGGGAGTTCATCTGAGAGAGGATCACTGTGAACGCACCAAAACAGAACGACAGACATTTACAGTCACATCGTTACGCCTTCGACATATTTACCCTGTATCATGTATTATCTTCACATCATCTGCTGTTTGTGCTGCAGCTGTTTGTTGTTTTCTTTAAGTCTCACTGGCAAGGTTCATACTTCCTCGCTGTTTAGTTCTTAGCAAAATGTTGCTCCTGTATTAGATATTTGTGCCTTTTTTTTTTTTTTTTCCAGTCAGTGGTAGATGTAAGAACTGTCAGTGTACTAATATGCACACATCTCGGTTAACAGAAAACAAATGTCCTCACTTGTGACCGCCTTCTGAAGCTTCTGCTGGAACCAGACGGGAGCTAAACGTTGTTGTGGAGCAAAGAAGTCAAATTCCACTGTGTTGTCAGCCACCAATTTTGGTTGCATGTCACAACTGTTAGCTGTTGTCTGCCCTGATGTTTCTGTCCTGGTGCCCTGACCTTTTCTTCCAGGTGTTGATCGGCGGCATTGTCTCGAGAAGAGTCCCGGTGTACATAATGAAAGCTGTCGTTATTTAAATGTGGATGACTTTGAGAGGAGGCTCGCACAAGATGCTGTTGAGTTTGTTTTTTGCTGCAGCAGTTGCTTTTTACATTTAATTACACGTGTCAGGTACTAACATGTAAGGAATTTTTATGTTAGGTTTACTTTGAAGCTGTTCATGTGTCTTTTTTTTTTTGCTTAAATTGCCCTGAAATGCTAACACCACTTCACGTTGTGTGATGTGGTGAAACGTCGTCCCGTCTTTCATCCTACACATCGTCAGAACCTGCATTAGCACCAGTTCAGGTGGAGACTCGGTTGCGCGACGCGAGCGGCGGCCGATCTAGCCTCGAGCTTTAAACGGAGATGAGCCGCCGTCTCCAGAGGCAGCGGCTCTATACGAGAACCGTAAACAGACTTTGATGTATAAAATCTGTGGAGTTTCCCTTTTTTTTTTTTTATCTCTCTCTCTCACACAGACCTTGCGACCCCCTGCCACTAAACGGTTGCAATGTCTGTAACGTCACAAGGAATTATACGTCTGACTGTAAAATTTATGGATGGAAACAGTCGGGATTGCAAGAAGTCGGTTGGATAATTAAAAAAAGTCACTTGGTATCAATTGAGGAGGGTTAAATCTGCCCTCCTACATAACTGCAGCTCGTGTCGGTGGAACGAAACAATGGCTGCCTTCAGAACAATGAGTTATAATGGCCATCCACACAGAGCAGCGATTAGACCGGTGTCTTCGCTGAGCACATGCCAATTACCGTTAAGCGTTCCTGCATTGGTCGTATAACTTTAACTGTACAGTATTTCTTTTGAGTCCTAACACTTTGAGTATCGTTTGTTACTCTTTGATTTGCTAATACGCGTTTAGTTGCAAAGTAACTCGAAATGTGCTTTAACTACGAATCCTGCCTTAAAAACCAGAAAGATAAGCCAGAAGAAAATCCTCCAAACGCCTCTCGCTTCTCTTCGCTCCTTCCTGTCTGAAACGTTTGCAGACTGCAGAGCTGATAGAGACCGAATGAGCAGAAAGTGGTGATGAGGATGATACTGAAGCAGACATTTTGATGCTAGAATCAATCTTAATAGGAGCACATACACGTGCCTGGTTGTAATAACACCCTAATGTCTTAGCTATGCTCTTAATTTAATGTTTTGTTTTTTATTTTAAAACCGGCTCTCTTCACGGAGGCAACGTTGTTATCTGTTATTCACTGTTATTTTCATTTTTTGGAGGCTAAAATAAATAATTCAAATAGATTTAACTGCCTCGTCTGCTTTTGGTATCATTTCCCTGTTGTTGTTTTTTTATAGGGAGAGAAATAAAACTGATCCATCTGTGTCAAGGATTTGGATTTAGTGTGTGGGAGGATTTTCTGACCAGAGATATTTTGCACACAACTCTCCTCCGTGCCTGTTTTTTTTTTTTTTTCTTTTTTTATTGAAGTTTCCGATTCTGCGATGGAGCCAAATGATTGTCTCTTCCCTCCTCGGCTTCCTTTTCTTTTTCCCCCCTCCTCCTTATCTCGGCATCATCTTTTTTGCTCCAGATACGCACCGCTAAGAACCCTCTCGTATATCCGCACGGCCTCTTTGTCTTGTGCCAGTGCCAACCTCGGGGAGAGCAGAGCAGGTTATGAGCATCGAGCAGCATACATTTACACAAAACAGATGATTCATTGTTGGGCTGAAATCTTAACATATTCCATACACAGTAATAAAGAGCTTAGGCAGATCAAAAGACTAATCTGAGTTGCCTTTTGATGTGGACAGGTAAGGTCTTAATTAAAAAAAAAAAAAAATATGGTCACTCTCTCAAGAATGGAGGGCTGTGTGAGGATTAAAAGCCACCGGCCGGCACATCAGTGAAGCTCACTTGGCTTCGCTGGCCTGCTTTGAAAGGCTGATATCCCAGATCACTTCCCGTCTTGTAAGTGCATAGCAGGCTTATCTTTGGGAGTACGGAAGTTGTTAGGATTTTATCACACCACAGCCTATCCTGGATTATTGTAAATGGAAACCAAGTGGTCCAGATTGAAACGCTTCCTTTATAGTTTGTTGCACTCGCTTCCTTTTTGCATCATCTCGACTTTATGAGCTCATTTATCCCCCCGTCCCGTCCCGTCCCGTCCCGTCTTTGATGGCGTACATGCGAGATAAATGCTTTTACTGCGTCTGTTTCTGAGTTTCTTCTTTACCAACAGGGACAAATCGGTTAAAACAACATGCGGATGTGGAGAAGGGGGCTATTCAGTTGCAGCATGCGGCCAACTTGACTCCGGGTCAAGATAAGCCCAGGACATGAGGACCATGCTTGGATGATATAGCGGCCCCTCGCCTTTGAAATCCTTTCCAAACTCATTGAGATACTCCCCAATGTGAAACTCAAGCTAGTGGTTCTGAAGGATCCAGAGATTACGGCGGACAAAGAGCGGCATTGAGAGGTGAGCGCTGAGAGGGGATGTAATGAACTTCATGTGAAAAGCTTCCGCGCTGCAGATGAGAGAGCTGCTCGGGACGGGAGGCTCGGCGCTGTCGTACGGGGTGCATGGGTGCACCGCCGTCCTCCTCTCATTGTCCCTGTGTTGTATTAAGGCAGCATTACAAACACCTCAGAAACCCGACGGCGCTCTGGGCTCTCTCGGGGATTTGATCAATAACAACAAGTTGGTTAAGACCTGTGAAGGAATCTTTAAATCTGCACTGGCAAATATGCGTCCAGGCCCTCATTTCCCATGAGCGATAATACACAATCCCTGATTACACACCCCACTGAGCAGCGTAATGAAAAGTCTCAGCTGGCAGGATGAAAAAATACTCGCTGGATTGACAGAGGGCTTTTAAATGTCCCCGTGTCCCATTGACATTAAGGCACTGTTGGGTTCAACGGAGGAGTTCTGTTTGTTGGATTGTCCATCTTCTGAGCGCCTGTCTTTCACTCTCGTTAATTTGATCGCACCTCAGCACCTTCAAATCTGGCACCAACTTGGATTCAAGGCTGAACTGATGAAGGTCATGAAAAACACGTCAGCCAAATCATTTTCTGCTAAATCACTTTTCTTCTGGTCATGATTCAACACCAGGACTCGGTAACGGGGAGAGACTGCGACCGTGGTTCACATTTCTTTCTGGGTGACACTGGTCTTGGGCTTCAGGCTGTGGTGATCATCTGACATATTGGAGATGTGTGTGAGGAGTTTTAAGAGTTGCAGCTTGTTGTATGTTCTTGTTTCAACAAGGTAATAGTGGCATCAAAGCTCAAACTAATAGACTTCAGGTAGATGCTTCATTAATCTGTGGCACGGAGCTGTTTGTTATATTCATGAGCCTTGTGGCAGCATCGTCTACACCACCCCACATGTTTCCCTTCTGGAAGGTTTCAGCACTTCTGGGGACATTTTATGAGGGAAAGAACCAAACAACGCATAACATTTTGACAAATAAATAAAAGAATAGCGCTGCGAGACGATTGAAGATGACAAACGACTTCCTCGCCGCTTGATATTTTCTAGAAGTTCATTGGGTAACTTCTGGTGGCTTCAAATAAATCATGTTTGTGAAGCTTAAGAAGAACATAAAAGCAGCCTAAACACTGTAGAACCGTCCAAATAGAGGAGGAAACCATAAATCATGGCTTGTAGTTTAGTTTAAAGCTCAGTGCACAAAGCTGGCCTTCACAAACGCTGCACACCAGCTTCACCCAAACCCACTGACTCGGTCGATATCAAGAGTTCACGTTCAAGATTCATTTATACCGAACGCCTCTCGTTTAACTCCTGAAGCTGCTCCTCGGTCTTAGTCGTGTGGACAGCGATGGTGATAAAAAATGAATTGTTCTGGTGTTTTAATCATCAGTGCAATAAACCAGTTAATCAGACTGAATCTAGAGGCTTCACTTGAGCGTTCCCTCGTGAACTTGTTCAGACAGACTTAAGAATTCACTTTGACTTTCTTGTGTTGTGCAAACCTACAAACCAGTGGGACCATAAACACAGAATCACCGCTTGAATCTGTAGCGCTCCTCAGATTTGTGAAGTTCTCCAAATACCCAAAGAAAAGTTTGTACAGCAGAGGAACAACTATGAATATAAATGTGTAGTAATCAGAAGGTCAGAGGCATCGTTTCCCTTCAAAGACACTGATGGAGCTGCCTCTGACTGGATGTTGATTTACCGCCTAATGAATAGTTTGTCATTTTGAGAAATATGCTTTTTGTTTTCCTGCTGAGAGCGTGACAAGAAGATCTGCACTTTACTCTCATGTTTCTGCTCGGCTTAGCATCAGGAGTGGAAACAAGGATTTCTCGGAGCGTCTGCTGGTCGACGTCGGGACAAGACGAGACTCATCAGGTACGACAAGAAGAACACCGTGTTTATGTTTTAAATGACAAAGCATTCTAGTAATTTGTAGGGACGATGACAAGAGAAAAAGCAGAGTGTTGGACGACGTCATAGAGGGAGGAGGTCGGGGTGATGGACAGGTCAGCAGAACATCAGACTTTCTCAGCTGTTTGTTTTCTGTTTCAAACCGCCTTAAAAATCAAAAAGCCTGGCGGTAATTGTTGGTTAAACTTGAGCGAGTGTTTTTAATTTACTTCAACCCAAACCCTGATTTTTCTCTAAACCCAAATCACTTTTGTGCTGTAACCTCATAGAACGCAGTGATTTGTGAGGGTTTTCTAAGGCATCCACAAATTCTGCCGTCCTGTAGTCAGAGATTAGGAGAAGCTTCTGGTTCAAAAACTGGCACAAGGGATGTTTTTACTCTTGAATTTACAGGACCGGTCTCACATCTAACGCTCAGCAAGAAAAGGAAAGTGTTGAATTGCTCCTTTAAGTTTCCACTACGACTAAATTAAAACCAGTCGAAGAACCAAACAGCACCAGAAAACATTTGACACAAATACTGGGATAAATATAGAAGTTCTGTTGGTACAGAAGAAACCCTCCCAGACTAATCCCACTTCTCTCAAGTGAAACTCGTCTGTTTTATCTGCTGGTTCTGAACCGTTGGGTCCCGGACCCCTCCATCCACACACTCTGCAGACGCTCCTCTTCCCTCAAGCTGCCGGGCAGACTAGCAGCTGCTTTGCATCTCGCTGCATCTCAGAGATGAAAAGTCACATATTTTCTCAGCACGCTGGCATGGCTAGACCACATTACAGCACACACTAAGGCATCCACGGCTCCACACTCGGTACTGTAACGTCTCCCTGTTGCTGGAAACACACTGGAAGAAGCTCTTTTTGGGTTTTTTTTGCAGCTCGATCGGCTGTATTCAGCAGATTAAACTCAGGTTTTGAGCACATTTTGTTTTGAAGCATGTTTTCAAGTGTTGGACAAATGACATTTCTGAGAAGGACGGGCGCTCTCATGTGGATATCTGAGCCTTATTGTTACTCGAGAGCTGAGCATAGTTTGAGACTAGAGTACACTAGAAGTTTTACTTTTACACTACTGTCGTAAAGGACAGAGTGTTCTGTAGTAGAAAATTGTTCTGGTGTGTGGACGTAACCACAGACTGTGAGTGGAGCTATTCATTTCAGAAGGGAAAAAACAAGGCTTCTAATTGAATACTATGCTATATTGTGGAATGTCATCCTGGCTTTTGGACACACATGAAAAAAAACAAAAAAAACTCCAAACAGTATGGATGGAAAAACAGCATAAAACTTCTCACAAGGCAGTTAATGGTTTCCATCTCTTAATGCTGTGGTTAGTTTCCATTGCTTATTAATGCACAACTCTGGATCACCATGAAGTCCTCTCAGTGCCGCCTCAGAGGGGGGTGGGGACGAAACCCACACCTGCTCCACATTGACCATCCTGGCTGGCAGCGTCGAGCTAATTAGCCGCAGAGTGAGAGCATATAGGCACCGCGTTCTTATCTGGGGCCCGGACCAACAAAGCCCAGACACAGTCGAGGAACTGTGGAGGGGAAAAGAATGTCCAGTCTAGACACCCTTTTTTCTCCAACAGTACCTGAGAGTGAAAAACCCATTTGAGCCCGGCCCCCGGTTCTCTTCCTTTCTGAGAAGGATTCCAGAGCTGTTGGTTCAGTCTCAGTGTGGTCATGTCTGACTGAGTCTGGACTCCAGCAGGGTGAGCTGTGGCCAAAAAAATCCCGGTTGTCTGAACAAGTCATCCAAAGTTTTAACAGGCTGTCATTCCACCGATGAAATCCGCTGCACGGTTTTCACACGTCCTAAGCCTCTAATGATGGCGCTGGATTTGTTCCCTTTCTGCAAAATGGAACATATGCTCAC